CTAGTCATGCTGTATGGTAATCCTGACCTTTGACCGGTGTAGCTGGCCGACCATCTCTTTCTCAAATAACACTAATATCCACCGATTTTCCGGTCCCCGCCCATGGGAATTAAAAAAAACGGCATCTCACTATTCATTCGTCTAAACATTCTAACCGTCCGTACCTTTTTCAGAACAATGACCGTGAATGACGTACCACTGGTGACGTCATTGTGAAGAGCAGCTGCCGAGGGGGAGAGGGAAGAGGGGAGGGGAGAGGCGATGGCGGCAACTTTGATGGCATTGGCTTGTGATGTGACTGTGGCTTCCATGCTGGCTATTTTCCTGAAAGAGATTACCCAATCCACTGGGTAATATATGAGATTGTTGATAATGTTGAGGAGATTTTACCGGAACGCCGTTGACCAGGACTGGGGTCAGGTTTAGATGAATTGACTGTTTGGGTCTGATTCTCAAGTGGAAGGTTCCGAGTGGTATTTTGGAAGCGCCTTTTGTAGAAGCGTGACTCAGAGTATAGTTTTGTAGAATACTCTCCACCGCGTTCATCGACTACCCTTTTATACGAAACTTTGTGGGCAGTAAATACAGCCTATAAAAAATAGCCGGTGTGTTTTAACAGCAATTTTTCCCAAATGGATGCCGCTAGCCCATGTGCACTCCTGGATAGCCCTGGGGCGATGTTTCATCCGTGTGGTAACAGTGCTGGCACATGAACGGTGGAACGAGGTATCTTGCCGGTATTACCATGGACATATTATTACATACCAAATGTCGTTCATACATGAACGACATTTGGGGAAAACGGCTGGCATGGTGGCATGCTCTATGCGAATAGCTAAGCGAAGACACTGGTAGATCTAAGAGGGGGCGTTTTTTGGGGGACCCCTCCCCCTCCGAAATGGACAAAAATTAACGTTTTTTTTTTCATAAAAAGAAAGCTCAACTTTTATCAGGAAAAGTTTGCGTCAAACTGCACAGCAGCACGTAGGGAATCAAAATCTGATAAGCTTTTGGAATTTGGAGAAACTTTTTTGGGTGTATGCCACCCCGCAGCGTCCAAGACCGCCTTTCTGGATCCGCCACTGTGCGTAGTAAGAACTCAAAAGCCGTTGCCATGGCGACTGTATTGTTCGACAGTATCACGTGCCCTGACTGCTGTTACCGTTGTGATCCTGTCTCTCCCCCTTCCCCTCCTCCCTGGAGCCGCCCCTGCCGACCCGCGGCGGGCGCCTGGAGCCGCCTCTGCACGCTGATCCCGCCGCGGGCGGTCACGTGACGGCTGCCTCTGTGGGCGAGTCGGGGTGGGTGCCAATAGGATCTGTCCCAGTCGCACTTCCAAACACCTCTAAACTCCTCCAAGAGCAAGATAGATGAGGTTGGAGCAGGGCCTTCTTTGGCTTTGTAGGGGCTAGAGCTGCCACTGGAACAGGGAATCAATCTTGGAGGAGTTTAGAGGTGTTAGGAAGTGCGACTGGAACAGAGGCCCAATGAGAAGGCGAGTCGGCGGTCAGGCGGGCCGTGCTTTGAGCTCCTGCAGGGAGGGGAGTACTGGAGCTTCTGTGACGCTATCGTAAAAACGCCATCGGTGGTGGACGAGGGACGCCATCGGCGTTGGACGAGGGAACACCGGGAGCGTCCTATGTGTCGTCTCCGGAACATTGAGGTGAGAGGGAGGGGTCGCGCAGGGCTTCCGAGGGCGCCTATTTTTCCGAACGGTTCACTTTCCTGAAGTTGTATAACGGTTTTAAGTTTTCTTGCAAATATGGGCGTTCAACTTAAAACTTTGTATAACATTTATTAAATGACTCCTTGAGTTTGTCTCGCTTCGAAGCTTCATGTTGTTTTACCAATGTTTTTAGAGAGTCTTTTCAGCATTTTACATTAATATCGCACAGTACAGTTTTCTGCGGTGGTATTTTACATGTATAATTTCTTCGTTGTTCTCAATGACAATAATTGGTGTTACTTCCCTCCTTGTTTAGCCGTAACCACTCGAGGTCTGACGCCATTTCCCTCCAACAGGAGCCGTGTGGCGTGTGCTGGTGGCCAGCGAACTGCAGCCCCGAGTTCCCTAATCGGACTGGAGTCCTAACAGACCCCGGTGGAAACCGGCCGACAGAAGACGAGGAATCATCGAATCCTTCATCACATCTGACGACTGATGTACCGGTAAGTCTGTATGTTATTTCTAAGCTGCTTTTAGTATTCAATTATAAATAGTTACCTCACATAGGTACAGTAACATTTGATGTAAGCTCCTTATTTGCCTCTGTGAGAACGGTCATAATGTGTTCTATATATGTTTGCATAAGTAATTTTAATTCGAGTGGTAAAGCATGTGTCCGTTTATCATAGGATATGTGACCGTCTACTTGGCTTGGTATGTGTGTCCGTGACCGTCTAAAATTTGACAAATATGTTTGACAATGTACAGTAGGTTTATGAAATAAGTCCTCTCCGTATGCGGGCAGGTGGTGCCTGAGTAGCGCTCAGGCGCTAACTGCCCACTGGTGACCCGCATACGGCCGGGACTTATTTTGTGGACCTACTGTATGTGACGAGGTATGTGAGACAGTACACGAGCATTTAACGTGGTATGAGTGATCGTCTATTTGAGATGGTATAACATGCGTGACCGTCTATTTGACGTGGCACATATGTGACCATCTATTTAACATGGTATATTTGTGTCTGTTGGTTTGCCGTAGTATGTGTGACGGGTGACCGTCTTTTTGACGTGGTATATGTGTTTTCGTCTAACGTAGTTTGTATACTTAAATAACTTATTAGACGTAGATATATGACCGCTTATCTGAAAGTGTGTGTGACCTGACCGTCTATTTGGCGTGAAATGTATGACCGTTCCTTTTAAAGTGGCACCTATATGCGTGGCGGCGTGTCCGTATATGGTTCGTGGCATATGTGGTCGTCTTTGTGTCGCGGTATGTGTGACCATTTGACATGCTGTATCACATTCTTATCGCACCATGGCTCACCATCTATTTTATGTGCTATGTGGTACTGTCTATTTGGCCTAGTATGTGTTTGACCGTCGAACTTACACGGTATATTTGTGACCAAACTTACACGGTATATGTGTGACTATCGAATTTACGCGGTATGCGTGACTAGAGCCTGCGACTAAGGACAAAGGTCCGAACGTGATGCTAGTTTCCAAGTTGGGTCTTTCAAGAAATACTTGTTTATTGTGCAATGTGCATAGTGAGGACTGACATGTGAGCTGATGCTGGTCTCCCATATCGTACACCCGCTAATTCTTTGACGGCTCCCGCTCCCTCTGTTGGCCCTCAGGCGGAGGTGGAGCGCCTTCTGGTCCAGTCCGGCGTGCCTATCGACCTACAGAACGAGGCGGAGCGCTCGCCGCTGCAGATGGCGCCACCGGGGCTGGCGAACGACCTCTAGCAGCTGGCGCCGCCCTGGGTGGAGCTCACCACCGAGGGCACAGATGGCAGCACCGTCGACTGGCAAAACTCTGCTGTCCGTCAGTGCGCGTATTTCGAACCGACGGACCTCTGTTTCGTGCTTCTGATCCAGAACAGTGTCGTTCTGAACTAAAGACGTATCAGCGGCTGGAGCAGTGGCTCAATTTCATTTGAATCCGGTGCTGTAGATGATGTGGTCTTTCTTTGACCACAGAGGCTGTGGTGACGGACCATTTAGCGTCCTTCGAGTAACTACTCGTTGCAAGATCCGATTTTCTCATCCGGAATATGTGTTTGTGTGCGCGCTATGCGTTCGACTCGCTGTGCATCTGTGACTTGTAAATGGTTTGTGTGGAAAGTATCATTTCTTGATTTTGGTGGTGGTGGTCGTTGGGTGGCATCCTAGTTCCTACAGTCACCCCGTGGATATAATCTCAAAATTGAAGGCGTTTGGTTAGTGTATTGCCGGTCCCTGCCATGTATGAATATGGATACCGAAGCTGCCGTCTTTTCGCTGCCATCGAGGTGCCGTTCTCTGAGCCAGTGCACTGCCAAACTTGACGTGCTTATTTGATATTTCGTTTGTCGTTTGTTTCATGCCTGATCCTTGAAAGAGCGCCGAATGAAAGATATGAATCGTCACTCGAGTATGTCGCCCTATGTTTTTTGTTTGTGCATACCACCGATTCATGCCTGGCATTGATTACACTTTATCGTAACACTGCGTCGTACGATAGTCTTCCCACTAGAAATGAGTCGATGTTCCCTCCGCCCTTCTCTGGAACAAGGCGCTGGTCATTGATGCTGAGATTGTCCAGTATTGTGAAGTTGTTGCAAAAAAGTACGAATAAAGTCTTTAAGAGCATTGTGTTCTGTGCTATGATGCTATTGGGGTACAAAGTGGAGGAGGCAGACTCGAGCGGTTGAAAGCGATGAAAGAGCGAACTGGATGGAGAAACTGAGGTGTCTCGAGTCCAAAGGTAATTAAGTATGAGACCGAGGCAAATGAACGCACTGAATCTATTATACACTCGCCCAGTGGCACGACTTCGTCAGTTCAAACCTAGGCTATGGCCAAGCATTTGCTGTCAACAGAAGTAGGCGGAGCCTAAATGGCCCTAAAATTGAGATTGGTATAAATTACTTCCAGGTGCCCCAACGGGTTTACCCTGGTGGCCGAGTGGTTAGCGTGACGTCAGCATGCATTTTAGACTTTTGAAGGTTTGGGGTTCGAGACCCAGAAACAGCCATGATTACGTTAAATTTTCCGTTCCAAGCGGGTCTCGAACCCAAAACCTTCGAAAGTCTAAAATGCATGCTGACGTCACGCTAACCACTCGGCCACTTGGGTAAACCCGTTGGGGCACCTGAAAGTACTTTACACCGATCTCCGATTAGGCCCATTTAGGCCCCGCCCACTACACTCTGTCGTCAGCCCAGCCTGTGTGACGTCACGTCCACTGCTGCCGTCGACTGTTTGGCTCTGTACGCGGGTCCCGCAGTTTCCTGAACCGTCTAACTATCGTTGATAGAAATTCCCACGCGACTTCCAGGACACTACCACTCAAAGTCAAGTTCATTGGGGCCGCTCTTTGCATTTTATTGAGATATTTAACGATCATGCAATAAACAGAAATATCGTCTGATGAAAGTTACGACGAAGTTATCAGTGTGCGTAGGGCGAACAGCCTCGTCGGGCTGGGGGGGGGGGGACGCCTCGGGCAAGGTCAGACAAGGTCAGTGCTGCCTCGCCGGGTGGCGGACGGGGCGGCGCCGGCGGCAGCCGGCCCCTGGCAGCTAGACCGGCCCGCCGAGCCGATTGACCCCGGCGATGACCTCTGATGGCCGCGGGCGGTGACAGCCGCCGATCTGGGCCGTCTGGGAGCGAGTGGAGACCGGAAAGGGGTGGGGAAGCAAGGGAGAGGGGAGGGGAGGGATAGGAGAGAGAGGGAGGGTGCACCGGACTGACGAAACAACTGGAAAAGGGTTATAGTTCAGCACAACCACTCCATTCTACAGATATATACAAACTCGCCATTGTCTCGATAAGTGAATATATTGTTCTCTCGCAAACCCTCTCCATAGCCCGGCCAAACACTGCATCACAAACAAACAAACAAACACGAGGCTTCGCCACACACCGCCGGACAAACACGACGTCACAAACATTGACAAACAGCGCACACCAGTGTGTTTGTTAAACGGTGCGACACCCGCATAGTTTGTGACCCGAGGTCCTCTGATAAAACTGCAGTCTATTCGCATCGATAATCATTTGGTGAATTAGCTAACAAGTGCGCGAATTAGGACAAAGTGACTGTAGAAAAGGAGATTGAACACATCAAGTGATTGAACACATGCATAGATTGTCCCCATGTGTGATAAAAATAAGGTGTGGCAGATGATTAAAAGTGTGCTGATTTCAAGTCGAACACGTTCAGGATTTACAACAGATTACCTGAAAATATTTTCGGTCATGAGTTAAAACCTGTCTCCTTCATTAGAATAGACCGTCACAGATGTAAAGCCAGCTTGTTACCTACGCTGTGACGCGTCACACGCCACACACACACATCCAGTCACAACGTCACGTCACTTCCACAATCTGTCCACATCCACATCCATCCACACACGCGTCAACCGTTTCCACACATCGATACATCTGAGACAGGACACTGCCAGCTTCGATCAGTGGGAAGAGGGTGCGTTCTCTTCTCCTTTAAATTACTTTCAACTAGCAGAACACCCCCCTTCCTCTGATTAACGGCACGTTGGCTGGTCCCTTTTGTAAGGCTGCGCGACCCAAAAGAGCTCGTCTGTCAAACTGAGACTTTAATTGAGTCTTCGAGTCAACACTAAAATTTTGTCGAGACTGTGGGAATCGAACCCGTCAAGAGTCTTATTTTGTCAAGAGCGAATATTCTTGCGTCAGGGGGCTCTTCTCGAAAAGTCACGATGACACGGCCGCGGTGACACCAAGACGACACCAATGACACCTATATACGACACCGACACACCAGTTACGTGTCAGGGTACATTAAGAGTAGCATTAGGTGACGTCTGCAGCCAAAGAGGTAACGTCAAGTGTAGGTGCCTGTAGATTCGACATCTACAGGACATCAGCTGATAGACCTCTGGACAGCAAAGCAGTCTGTAATTAGCCACTTAAGCCATGTCGATCGATTTTTGAAGAAAGTTTGTCAGTTTCAATGTTTTGACGACAGAGTAATTGCAGAAGAGTAGCGTATCGCGTGCCTGGATGTGCAGCCGGTCTGAGCTAATTTTGAGCGTGAGAAAAGTTATGGATAACAACAACCATCCTATCTAGACATCGATTGGTCCCGCGGGGAGTTGGATACTATCAAGAGGGAAAAGGGGTAAACTGAAGAGGGAGAAAGGGGTAACTACATACAGCCTTGGGGTTTGGGAATCCACTGAAATGGTGAAATTTGTTCTAACCCTACCGGGATAACGTCACGTTCAGGGTCCCAGGATAAAGGAATGTTTGCCAAGTGGCACAGGAAAATCACCAGCGGAACGCGATGTGATCTGACAGCAGTCATGACAGTGCCACAGTGGCCAGTAGTGTCTCTAACTGACAGTTTAAGTAGCGCACAGTGGATGTCTGAAACAACAAACTCCTATCTTCAGTGTCACGTCATAAAATCATACAGAGAGCAGCATAGCGCATCTGCATACTGAAAACACACCTTCAATGAATCACCTGCTGTAAAAATAACGACACGCTCGTAGCGCGATAAAATACAACACCAAAAATGGGCGTCATTTTACACCTATACCGAGGATAACAAATCTAACCTACCAGCTCCTCTGTTTACCTCTGAACACCTCCTCTTCTCCTCCTCTGTACAAGCCTCTGTAAACTGGCGCTACCGTAGCCCATAGTTGATCCTGAACCTACCCTCCCCACCGCTGACCGACCACAGAACAGCAATATAGCCGTGATTGACATTTGGCAGCACAGGGCACTGGCCGGCGCGTGTGTTGGGCGTCCTCAGTCCACCTCTACCGGGACCGGTGGAGGTGCTACTGCTTGTTCTGAGACTGGTAGAACTCGGCGATGATTTTCCAGGCGCGAGGAGCCATAAAGCCGTCAGGGGGCTGTTGCCCGGAACGGGCCAGACCTGCGGATGGAGGGGGGGGGGGTCAGTCAGGCCGGGTGAGGGGGCAGGTCAGCTAGGGGGTCACGGGGGGATGTGAACGACAAAATGACAGTTGGTGACAGACTAGGGGAGTGACAAACACAGCCCCAGTGACAGTGACTGAGTCGAGAGAGAAAAGGTAGATAAACGTCAGGTGTGACTGTAAGTGGAGTCGTCCATCCCCGCCATCAATCAGCCCGGCGTTATCTAACGCACCCACCGGTCCCTGGCGCTGCCGCAGTGACAAGATATTGACGCACAAGGTCAAAATCTCGGTCAAAATCTCCCTTCTCAGGTATCTCTATCTCTCTTGCTTTTCGACTGCCTCACCCAAAGTCACTACGTTACTCTTAATCACTCAAGCTCTCCTCTTAATCCTTCTTTGCCATCTCTCTTTATGCATCCCACCCATCTCTCCCAACTCCCACCTTCTAACGAATCCCTTACCTCTCATCTTTGTGCCCGAGATGAACTCAAAGTTCTCCCTCTGCGCTGGGTCGAAAAAGTCCATCTTTCCCAGCTGCTTGTTGTAGGCGGCCACGCGGAAAGGGATGATCTCTAGCTGTTTGAGGCCTGGAGCCATCGTCAGGACCTGGTGGGGGCCAGGCGAGTCAGCATTCCAGAGCACACTTGTAGCATAAGGAAACAAGGCAGTGTATATCAACATACACCAAAGCTTATAACTTGATTTTTCAAAGAATGTGTAATCCTTCCTTATTCTCTCTCCTGCAGCTTTCTTCCCAATATTCTCTTACCATTCCCTATCATTACTTTCAACGACCTCCTTTTTCTCCCATTACCTACTCAGTCCTTCTCTTCCCCTTTCTCTATCCTTCTTTCCTTCCCCTCACTCACTCACCCACCCACCCACTCACTCACTCACTCACTCACTCACTCACTCACTCACTCACTCACTCACTCACTCACTCCCTCCCTCCCTCCCTCCCTCCCTCCCTCCCTCCCTCCATCCCTCCCTCTCCCTCCCCTCTCCGTACCTTGCTGCCGTGAGTCGGCTCATACAGATCCCCACTTCCGTCGGGGTGTCCCATGCCGGCCGGATCCCTCCCGACGATATAGAAGGTCGCTCCTGTACACATGCGGGCCTTCGCGTGCCATTGGACCTCCGTCGGACCGGCATACATCATCGGCGACGGAAATATGGCTAGGACGGTGGCCTCAGGGTCCAATACGCCGTCTTCGAGGATCGCCTGGTGTTGCTGCATGCGTGTGGCGAGCGGGACGTCGTCGTCTTTGGTCCAGCCGCCCAGAGGGTGGAGAAGGAGCACTGGCTTCTTGTAGCCGCGCTCGAGCAGACGACGACGGGTGTCCTGCGGGAGGGGGGGGGGGGGAGAGGTTAGTGGGCCGTCAATCCTGTGAAACTAAGAGTAACAACATCATTTACTGCAGTCATAACACGAAATATACGTTAGATGTGTATGGTGAATGCGAAAAAAAAAACACAGAAAGCGATATTTGCCGGATACTCGTCTGCTGAGTTTACTTTGATATCCGAAGTCGATGTTCGAATAATATTCGTCAGTCAGTATTTGTCCGATATTTTTTGGAGATTCTGACCTGCATGAGCAGCGCGTGCCCGTTGTGGATGGGGTTCCTCAGCTGGAACGCGAATACTGCGTCCGCCTCCAGCTCACGGAACCTGAGAGAGGAATACAGACAGGCAAATGTCGTTAACAGACAGTATAGAAATACAAATAGTCGCACAAGAACGTGTACATCTCCACTTCTCAGAACGTAAGAGCAAATACCATAGTACATCTCCCAGAAAGTGAGAGAAATGCGGACACATTGCCAGGCAGCCATAGAGACACAGCCATACGAGCGCCACCCCGAACTACATCTGACTAAACCAAAGAGAAACAGGTACATATTGAAAGTTCTAGATACACACAGTCCTTCAACACCGCGCTCTCAACTCCATCTCACTGAACCATGAAAGCAAGCTATGAAAAAATCCATACCGCGGCGTCCTACAGGCTACAGCGACCCCATACCTTGCGCGCAGTTCGATGGGCGTTAGTGGCTAGTGAAATGATCCATACCATACCATACCCCACCATGCGTCGTGCCACACCATGTCACACACCCATACATTGAGCGCAGTTCTATGGGTGACCCCACTTCTCAGGTACTTAGTTAACTAAGTACCTGGAAATGAATGGGAATGAAGAAATGAAATGAAATGAAACTGTGTGTAGTTAACTGTACGATACCCCTTAGGTACCATACCCCGCCCTACCTCTGGCGCAGTTCAGTGGGCGTCAGTCTGTACTGGTCCAGGCCGTCCTCCCACTTGATACGGCCCAACACGTCCAGGTCGCCGCCGACCAGCCAGTCGCCAGAGTCCAGCACCATCTGTCGGCAGCAGAGCCAACTTCAGTCTACAGAGATACACGTCGGTGAGAGAGGGAATGTTGTTATTAGTCGCACATTATGCTCGATGCTCATGTCGGTAGTCTTATTTCGAAAATCATATTTTAACCAGCAGACTTCTTGTTCTGTAAGCAACAGACAAAAGATTACAACAGCCGGGTTTCAACAGTTAAAGGGACTATCCCACCTTCTAAAATGTTGTTAAAACCAGTTAAATTGTGCCCGACTTTACAGATTGGATGACCAGGAACACGGTTCTGGCATTTATTTTTCATTTAACATCTTAGGCTTCCCATATTCCAAACACAAACTTTCAAATATGTGACGTCACAGCCCAAAATTACCTCCTTCCCCAGGCCACATTACTGTCATAAAGCTCATTCTTTTTACTCTGTAGGCACCACAACAAAGTTCAGACCAAGTTTTAAGCGATTTTTCAACGAACAAACCCATTTAAATCAGAATGACTAAACGAGGTGACGTCACACTAACGGTCGCTCCATGTTGAAGATAGGGCCTTGTACAAGGCCCATTTTCAAATGAAGGGAACGAATTTCTTCAACACCAAGAGGCCGCGGGGGTTGCAACCTAGATAGATAGTGGTTTCTGAACCTCGCCGCAAACTTGGCTATCTCAACTCAAACCCCATGTTAAAGGTGGGATAGTCTCTTTAAACATGTAGCGAGAACGCATGACAAGTCCGCGTGAAATCAAGGTTCGACAACCAATCGCGGACAACGTGACTCTGCTGTCGCATACGGGATATGTGCCTGCTTCATTTTCTTCCAGTAGCATTTATCAATCCTCAGCCGCATTAATATAGCTAGCTGCTCCTAAGCCAATAACTTGAGCCTAAATAATGATCATCAGTCTCCCCACCCTGAACATCCTCCCAATCCCTCCCAACTCCCAACCTATCCCCGTCCTTCCCCACAACCGCACCTTGACGTAGGGGTGTCCGGGGTTGGTGGTGCCTCCCTACCCTCACACCGCACCTTGACGTAGGGGTGTCCGGGGTTGGTGGTGCCCCTACCCTACCCCCCCCCCCCATTCCGTCCCTACCCTCACACCCACCTTGACGTAGGGGTGTCCGGGGTTGGTGGTGCCCCTACCCTACCCCCCCCCCCATTCCGTCCCTACCCTCACACCCACCTTGACGTAGGGGTGTCCGGGGTTGGTGGTGCCCCTACCCTACCCCGTCCCTACCCTCACACGCACCTTGACGTAGGGGTGTCCGGGGTTGGTGGTGCCCCACTGTCGGGCGCACCGCTCCTCCTTGCGGTGCTCGAAGAACTCGGGTTTGCGCAGGATGGCCACCGGTCTCCCGTTGTACCTGGGAGGGGAGCATATGCATTATGCAGCGTTAAGGCCGCCCCACACCGGAACTCGCATGCGGGTTGCGAGTTTGCGGGTTTTGAGTTTGCGGGCAAAATACTAATTCAGAGTGATTACATCGTTCCCTTATGGTCACTCCATGAATGCAGTGGAGCCGGGACACTTTTAAAAAAAAATTACATATTGTCGAAATACCAGCATAACGAAACAAAATTCGACTCCAACGAAAAACTCGCAGACCTCGCAGAACCCGCAGACCTCGCAGCGAGGAAAATCGAAAGTTGACTTAAAACCAACTTTTGAAATGCGATGCAAGGTAGCTCGCAAGCTAAAAACATGCAGACTCGCTTGTTAGATGGTAGTGTGGGTCATTCAGCTTAGATTGTATTATTTGATTTGGAAGAAACCCGAAAACCCAAAAACTCGCAACCCGCATGCGAGGTCCAGTGTGGGGCGGCCTTTAGTTGGAGTTAGGTTAGGTGAGTTAGGTGGAGTTGGAGTTAGGTGCAACGTTAGGAGTTAGGTTAGCTTAGAAAACGGCGGAGAAAAGACTTACTTAACTGTAACTTGGATGGTGACTTAACATGGAAATTGAAACGGGTATGAATTTACGGGGATGGTAAATTACATGTGGCGACAAAGGGATGGGAGAAGACATGGGACACTAGGTCACTGGCGATAGGGAAATGGGTAATAAAAACGGGAGAGATTGGTAGGGGAGGATTTTACTTCTACCTTTGGATTTTACTTTCACCTTTGGAGAACTACGAAGTATCAAGTAATCTTAACCAGCCTGAGCCAGTGAACATGTTAACTACAGAAAACACATTTCACAACACTCAGTGTCCGATATCTCCTCAATGAGAATGCATTGCACACATCAATTTGAGAAACGAAGCCACCAACCCCCTCCCCCCACGTTCCCTCTTACCGCCCTTGAATCTCCTTTGCCACAGCTTCACGTCACACCCTCAGTCTTGGAATTCCTTGACCGTCAACTCTCGTAAGCAGTAACTCTCGAATCAACGCCCAGGTGGCTAGCATGACATATTGTTAAAGGGATTTGTCCGACTTCGGACATTTAACTACACACGTAGACTCAGCCCATCACGCGCCCCGGGTATCTCACCTCAGTGTTATGGCCGGCTGTCCAGCGAGCCGCTCCTTGTCCGCCGTCTGCACGGCCAACACGATCGGCACCGACTGGTTGGTGACGCCGTCATCCAGCAGGCAGTTAAAGTGCTGACTCTGAGCAGTTGGAATATCACAAGGACGAGCGGACGGACGGACGGACGAGGGGAGGGTAAAGATGATTTCAGACGTGATAGACAGATGGACGGACAAACGGAGGGAGGACAAATATGATTTCAGATATCCCATAGACAGACGGACAGGCGTGAGGGAGGGTGAGAATTATTTCAGACAGACAGACAGTTGTGAGGGAGGCAAATATTATTTCAGACACGATCCACAGACGGACGGAAGAATGTGGGGAGGTTGATGGTGGTAAAGGGTAGAGATGAAGAGAATTGAGATGATGTCGGCAGCAGCAGTCGCGGGGACGGCACCAGCACCATCGTTGGTGAGTTTGGAGAGTGTATTTCAGCAGCAGCGGAGACGGCAGCAGCACCATCGTTGTTGAGTTTCGAGATGAGGAGTGCGAGTAGACGTTGGCGGCAGCAGCGGAGACGGCGATGGCGACGGCAGAAGAGAAGAGAGAAAAAAAAGAGAAGCGTTAATATTGGTTGTGGAACACATAAACATCAGACAACATCAGATGCAATAGGTGATGCTCGCAACCCAGAGAGCGGCGAATAAGTAAGAAAACAAGGTGCAAAACCTATAAGGTATTTTGATCTACAAGCTTCCCGCGTCCAAAAAATTCGAAAGTACTGTTATGTATGCCTGCATTGGAAGCTGATATCGCGCTGAAACAATCAAAACTGTTCGACTTCTCTCACCGCATCCTACGCATATTCCATTAAACAATATGTCATGCATCGCTGCAAAATGGCGTTCGTCGTAAAAATTATATCACCGCGGTGAATCTGAGCGGTAAGAATCACTATCAGTCCTGAAGTTTCTCCTGGAGTGGGTAGTACGAACCTGAAGGTACTCCCTCTCGCGCATGAAGCCGGTGAGCGGGGTGGCCCAGCCTTCAGAGAGCACCTGCACCTGCAGCCAGACACACAAACACGGTCAGACTAGGGGTCATGGTCCAGCCTTCAGAGAGCACCTGCACCTGCAGCCAGACACACAAACACGGTCAGAGGTACCCACTGTAGGTCCAGCCACCCCATACCTTCCTTATATTGATGTCCCCTCGCCCCCCCCCCCCCCAACTTTCACAACCGAGACCTCTCCGACATTCTCAACCAAGTATAAGGGCCCTTCTGTTCCATACCCAATCGCTGTGAAGGGCCAACAACCTGCATGTTCCTTCATTCCCAAACCTTATCCTCTGCAGTCTGCAATACTCCCCAACCCAAGCTAGTCCCTCCCGTCCCAGACCTACCCACTATCCCATACCTACCCACTGTCCCAGACCCACCAACTGTTCCAAGCCTTTCCACTATCCCAAACCTACCCACTATACCAGACCTACCCAGACATACCACAAATCCACCACCTGCCCCACACCTACCCACTGCAGGTCGAGTGTGTTGATGTCGACCGCCGGCAGCCGTCCAGCCTCCTCCGTGGCCACACTCAGCTGGTCAGCCGGGACGAACAGCTCGCCCACCGTCTGACTAGCCGAGCGGGGCACGATACCCTGGGGGGGGGGGGGGGATAGGGGTCAGAGAGGGGTCCGGCACGAACAGCTCGCCCACCGTCTGACTAGCCGAGCGGGGCACGATACCCTGGGGGGGGGGATAGGGGTCAGAGAGGGGTCCGGCACGAACAGCTCGCCCACCGTCTGACTAGCCGAGCGGGGCACGATACCCTGGGGGCGCGGAGAGAGGGGTCAGAGAGGATCAGAAGGGTCACAGATGTCAGAGGGGTATGAGGGACCAGAGAAGGGTCAGAAGGGTCATAAGGGGTCAGAAAGGTCACAGAGGCAGGGCAGCGGGGTCACAGGGGGCCAGAGGGGTCACAAAGAGTCAGAGAGGCCATCTGCGGGGCACAGAGGGTTGTGGTTAGTGACAGACAGATTTGAGGGTCAAGTTGAGTAACGGGTCAGATGTGTAGGGTCTGAGGGGTGATGAGGTTACGGTTAGTAAAGGGTCGGAGTCGGAGTAAAGGTAGTCAGCGAGTCGGAGCGCCGGACATCCCAGTCGATTGGCAGGGGATCACGATTCATTGGTCAGTATTCAGTGATGGACATTGGACAGCAATTACTCGTAAGTGGACAATGAACGGTCACGATCAATTTTCAGCGGTCGTTGGTCAATTTACTATATTCAATAATTTAACATAGGTCCATGGTGAGCGGTTACCGATAACCAGTGTAATTCAGAGCCTAGTAAACGTATCCCTCCTCTCACTCACGTGAGCGGTGAGCAGATCCACCACCTGATCGACGCAGTCCTGCACGCTCCGGTTGGCAGTGTACAGGGTGATGTCCGGGTTGGCGGGGCGTTCATACGGCGCGTCAATTCCCGTGAAACCTGCCAATGGTAAGATATACGTCAAATCAGTCTACTAAATTGGCTAAATAAGATACATGCTGGAGACGAATGTAAAATGATGATGATTTGGGGTCTTAGGGCGCCTCAACTGCACGTCATCGGCGCCCAGGATAAGGTGAGATAAATGTTGATCAATGTTTAAAGCAAATTCTAGGTGGGAAGGTGTGGTGATTGAATCAAAGAGACGAACGTCGGATCCCGAAATACAACACCCATTTTATGTCTAATAAAATCTTTGACTGTCCACACTCCATACCCAAAGGGGCTCCGAGCATTCTTCCACATTTCTCAGTTCCCACAAAGGCAGCACATGCTACAGCCAATACAGATTTTTCATTGTTTTAACCGAACTCTTCACTAAATAACGCCGAAATCGGCACTTCCTGGCCACCGAACTGAAGTGAAGCAAGTACGCACCCTTGATGAGACCCTGGCGCGCCTTGTTGTAGAGGCCCTTGACGTCACGCGACTCGCAGACATCCAGCGGTGTGTCGACGAAACACTCGTAGAAGGGCAGGTTCGAGTCGCCGTGCAGCTTCCGCGCCACATCGCGGTCCTGTGACGTCATAAAATGGCGACCAATCAGAGGCGGCAAACAGGTGATGGGAGGCGAACGAGTGTCCAGTCACAGTGGCAAAACACATGAATGTTGTAACTTTTCTGGGTGTGAGCACTGAACAGCCAGTTTATACGCATTGTCATTTACAAGGGATTTTGTAAGACATTATCATATTAGACCCTAGAGAACTGAGGAAAAACTGTCCATCTTCTCACTTTAACATACCTTGGCATAGGGCGAAACGAAACTGCACAGTGCGACCACTCCGCTGTCGGCAAACAGCTTGGCCACCTCAGCGACACGGCGGATATTCTCCTCCCTGGGGGCAAGGGTCAAAGGTCACACTGAGGTCACCGCTGGAGAGTGAAGGTCAAACAGAGGTCACTGGTGCAGGGCGAAGGTCGCGTCAGGGTCAGCAGGAGCCAGGAGGGGAGCCTTCGGCGCGATGGTTTTTGGATCTTTGATTTCATCTTTACAGTGGTTTTATGTAGCCAGTGCAAGCAAGCGGAAGAACTAGGGGAAATCAGCACGTTCCCATGAAGTGAGACTTCATTTAATCGCTAAAAATAGCACATTTCGCACATTTTTACGCCTCGTGTCTGATCCATTCCCTGCAGTTTCGGAGGCTCGTCCTCTCCCAACAATCACAAGCCACTTCGCATTTTTCTCCCAGCTAATAAAAGCAAAACAAAATCCTTTCTAGCCCCCAAAATCCAGAATTCTCTCAATCTAGACCATACTCTGTTAGTCTCAGCTGCTCTTAACCCTCTGTCGCCGCCCACGAAGCAACAGTAAAAGAAAAGACAACAGGAGCGAGTGTAGGAACCATCATGTCCTGGCAGGACTACATCACCAAGCAGTTGCTGTCCACGAACCTGGTGAAGGATGCACTGATCGCCGGGGCGGATGGCGCCATCTGGGCCCAGAGTAAAAACCTCAAGGTAAGAGCTGGTCACACTCACCAAAAGGTGAGCACTGGAGTGAGAAGTAACCACCACGAGTCAAACTTAAATCTATGTGATTTACCATTCGAAATGGTTTGAAAGAGTTTCTTTTTTCTACAAAAAAAGCTTAGCAAATGCGAAGTGATTGCATGCTTAGCTGGCACACCACGGGAAATTGAAATCACCACTTTATGTTATACCATAGCACTACCACCAGCGGCATTCGATATCTCTTAGGTACATTGGCACTGGCGTATGATGTTATTTCCCGAACGTATCAGACAGTTGTATCCAAAAGGTCACGACGGCATCAATGCCAAAGGACTAATCTGAATCTAAATGAAGTCTAGTCGGAACATGTCTATTGCAACATTGAGATAAGCAATTAGAGATAACTAAACCAGTAAACCACTGCCGAGGTCGGTGATAGATTCAATCAGTCGCCGCTCTAACGCAATTAGAATGAGATCATTAGGGACACATCGTCCTCATTCATTTCTCGTCAGCTGAGATGACCGCGTTTCCATATCAAAACATGACACCATGGATTTATTCTGCCCTAGATCGCTCTAAATATTCGACCCGACCTGTAACTACCAAATGCTGTAAACTCATACCTAGATAGGTTCACTAAGTGAACAATGTCATGCCTACCACCTACGTATGTATAACCGATTCGTAGCCTCCTTCCCATGTTTGACCTGACCAGGCATTACCTCCGTTATTGTCATTTTGTCTGGACAGTCGACGAAGGAGGAGCTTCAGCCGATCATCAAGGGAATCAAAGACGGAGGCGGAGCCCTGACCACCTCCGGAGTCAAGTTCTCAGGTGAGAACCCTGGACTAGGATCCCAGCGAGAAGTTTATAATAACGCAGAGAATAAACTTGAAAGCTGGTGCTACTCGTGTGAGAACTTGAGCTAAGCGTCAAAAAAGAAAATTAGTGATAACGTCTTGTAAATATGATGAAACCGTTGAAGGCATTATCTAATATCAACACATTGACAATAACTTCGAAAACACATCGTACCTCTTGAAAACATAATATCCCATAAGATACTGAGGTAAGAGGGCTGTGGGGAAATACGGCCAGACATCATCTCATGTTCTCATATCTCATGGACGGACCATTTTTCGCTGGGATGACCGGTACTCAAGCAGATTTCAAGAGGGAATTTCGGGGCGGTTTTTGGGGCCTGACTACACACACATTCATGCCTATGTATGTCAAGTGATAGACATACACCGTCGCTATCGAGTGGCGCCGGGCCGAGTGCTGTACTTTGGCCCCTCGGTGCTGATAACATACAAATGAACTAATGTTACATTATGCCCATGAAAGGACACTGATAAACGGTATGTGAACGGGCCCCCAGCATAGATCAATGAAACCGTATGACGTGTTTTACATTTTATAGGGTATGATGAGAATATTGGTGGGATACTCAGGCTGGGTATGGGTATCAAATTTGAAACTGTACGAAATCATCCGCTGGGTTACGGTCGATGCTTCACTTCTTTCGATCCCTTAGCCTTCAGAAATGGATTCGTTACGAAATATGACATGCTCTATGAATGATATTGGTTGTAAGGGGAATTCGAATGTCCATTTGATCATTCAAAATAACTGCAAGGGAATATTATAATGGATTTGAATGATGGTGGAAGCGCTAAAGATTCGAGCTATAACATGCGTCTATTAGAGGGTTTTGCGCCTGACGGATCAATTTAATTTCATGCTCAAACATATACCACCTACTGTACTGACATCATCGAAACTAACACTAACCCCCTCTCCATCCCCTCCTTCCCTCCCTCTCTCTCGCTCTCCTCCCCCTCTTCCTCCAGGCACCAAGTTCATCTTCCTCTCCGGCAACGCCGGCAAGTGCATCCGCGCCAAGAAGGCCAAGGTGGGTCTGCACGCCGCCATGACGGATAAGACGGTGGTCGTATCGCTGTACGAGGACCCCGTACAGCATGGCGAGTGTGCCGCCGTCGTGGAAAAGTTCTGCGACTTCCTCAAGGGTAAAAACTACTGACTTCTGGGAACGGCTAGAGCTACTGACTTCCCTAGAGCAAGAACTACTGACTTCCTTAGAGCAGAAACTTGACTTTTTCGAAAGCAAGAACTGTTGGATTTCTCAATGACGAATAACTACTGGCTTCTCCAACGGCAAAAACTGCAGACTTTCTCGAGGGCACGAACTGCTGACTATCGTAGAGCAAGGACTACTGACATGTCCAGCTGCTGCGGCGACGGCCGAGGTGTTGAGAAAGCACCAGAGATTGGTGTTAGATATAGGCGGTGGTGGTGTTTTGTGTTTCGTAGTGATGTGCGTTCAATGATGGAACCTAAACGATGAACGAATATCGGTCGCACGTAGAAATGGATCTTCTGCAGGGATGGGGAAAGTATAAAAGTAGTCACAGGGTGTAAATATGGGGAGGAGACGGCGACTCCTATTCTAGTAAGCCGCCTCCGAAGAGCGCATACCTACAGACGCCGTCATGTGCATGACTTGTTAAGAGATTCTCGGGGGCAGAAGGCAGTAGTTTATTGAGGCAGTTTCACGAAAGAGAAGTAACTTGGCAGCGAAACCGCGTGGATACACAAATTCAAACGATAACTCAGTACAAGGGGGCTTTTTGTGATCTGCCCTGTTTGACCATCCAGCGCATCCAGCTACTTTTGAGACGAATCTGACAGCATCGTTAAATTGACGGAAGCGCCGAGCAGTAAATTATCTATTTGTTTATAACCAGTAACCTAAACCACACCAATAAACGAGCAGAAAATATACCTAGTGTTACACACAGTCCTAGTCTCGGTTTAAATAATCAGCTATCTCATTTGTTTATGATTAGCTTTAGAAGCAGCGCTCTCGGTGAAGACCTCCACCCAGATCATCCTCCGATCTCTCCAGCATAACCATGTCGTGGCAGGATTACGTCAACAAGCAGCTGCTCGCCACGGGCTCGTTACGAGACGCCCTCATCATGGGTATGGACGGCGTCATCTGGGCTCGAAGTACTGGACTACAGGAGGTGAGAGGCGGCTGGAGGAACAGGGGTGGGGGAACAGGAGGGAAGGGTAGGACATGGGGAGTGGGGTAACAGGGGACTGAGTGGGATAAGGGGAAATGATGGATAGGGAGGATGGACGAACAAGAGGAAAGTCATGCTGCGTGGAGAATACGGCGAAATGGAGGAGAAGGTGATTGTGGAGGAGGGGAACTGCGGAATGGGGGAAATGATGAACCATGGGAGAAATGATGAAGCAGGATAAAGAATAAGAGAAACTGTGGAAAGAGGGACGTGCAAAACATGATTTTTGGGCCATAGATGACGAAAAACCGAATAATGCAGCCTACCATAGCCTCCTGCACACTAGAGGTCTTATAACTTTATGGATTGGGAAGTAAAGAACCCAGCCCTGACCCTAGCCTCGCGCTGGCTCCCTGTTACCGTCAGACCAAGCCTGAGGAAGTACAAAACCTCCTAGCCTCGCTGAGCGACGGAGGAGCGACTCTGGAGGACGTCGGAGGCATCAGAGTGGCAGGTAACGACGGCACACCCGGTCAGGTCAGGTCAGGTGAACGTTTGGGGGGGGGGGGGCGCCCGGGCTACAGTGGTCATCGGCGCATGTAAATGTTTGGTGAACGGGATTCCGCCACATAACAGAAGTGAGCGATTGGATCAGCCTAGCGGTGATCGAGATGAGCTTGACTGAATAACAGACCGACAGTGATTGAGAGTGTAGGGCTAGAGTAGAAATTGCTGTAGTTAACGTCGCATAGATCGACGGTCCCGCGATGACCAAACCATGCCACACACCCATGTCACCGTGTCATCGTCTGATGATCGGAGGTCGGGTAATACACATCCAAGAGATATGAAGGTAGACTGTAGAAGACCTAGCAAACACATCCGACCCCTTCCTTGTTACACCAGTGTAGTATGGACCACGGCCCGCCAGGCCCCAAGAACCACGGCACTGTCTTACCTACCATTGTAGACACACCTGGCCCGACCATCAGCCGATATTCTGCTGACATTACCCAGCTGGTGGGTCTATAAACCAACTCAATCAGCCTGCGGTTTGTCACGACTGGCGACCACCTGTGAAACCACTGCAGTCACCAAATGTACCCCATTAGGGGCTCCTGTGATAACTAACAGTTACCACAGGCCGGTTTACACGTCACAATAGCGACGCCACTCGACCACAACTCTCAGCATGACAGCGCGGCGTAAAACGCTGTCTGTGAGGCTAATTTGTGAATCATGCGTGGTTTTCTATATGGTTCAAATTTGTGGTGAATGGCTAACTAATAGCCAGTTAGCTGACTCTCTCTCTCTCTCTCTCTCTCTCTCTCTCTCTCTCTCTCTCTTTCTCCCCCTCCATCTCCCCTAGGCACCCGGTACCTGTACCTCGCCGGCGAGCCGGGCGTCTTCCTCAGCTGTAAGCGGGCCGCAGTCGGGCTGTACGTGCGCCAGACTCAGCGGGTGGCCATAGTAGCCCTGTACCAGGACCCAGCCACGCTACAGCAGTGTGAGGCGTGCGTCACCAGCCTCTGCCACTACCTCGGCAACAAGGGCTTCTGATCCTGGTCCTACGCGGCCTCAGCGGCAAGGTCGGAGCTACAGTCTACCTCGGCAACAAAGAGCTATGGACGGTCCTTCGCTGCATTGGCAGCAAAGGATTCCGGTCGCGCTCTTGACGACCCTAGCTTTCGCAACAAGGGCTTTTGATCGCGGTCCTTCGCTGCAATGGCAACGAAAAATGCCTATCTGAGCTACTCTAAACTCGGCAACAAAGTCTTACGATCGGGGTATTCCTCTACATTGGACTGCATCACCGCAATCACTGCAATCAGTGCACCACTGCAACAAAGGATTCTGTTCGCGCTCTTGACGACCCCAGCCTCTGCAATAAGGGCGTCTGATCGGGGGCTGCCTCAAAGTTGTCCACAAGGACTGCCTCTGCCTACGCAGCAGGGGCTTCTGATTGGGTCACTGCGTGCTTCACTGCCTCGGCAACAAGAGCTTCTGAATAAACATCAAATGATTTCGATTGGATCGGTACCATCAACAGCAAAGATGCCGGTTCTGGTACTTCCTTTGCAACAAGGCTTCTGATGGAGATTGCCACTACCTCCTCAGCAATGACATTCGTTTGGACCCGTCCAATGGATCCGGCCGTCGTTTACAATAGCAGCAATGGCTTCTGACGGTAAATTTAATGCTGACCTTTTCGTTGATGATAGGGGTTTCCAATGAAACACTGACCTAAGGCAACATTTGTGTTTAAACCGCGCTTCATCTACTTCGCAAACTGCAATTTTAAGCGTTCACCAGCAGTGCCGCTTTGTAGGGGGCTTCTTTGGCGTGTCCTGAACTGTGTTTGACAAAAAGGGTCTCTGTTGCTGATCACGAAGACAGTTTCTGATGAACAAAGTTCCTCAAGGCATCTGTCTTTCCTTCCTTATCAAGATATTTGAAACGGGCCGTTACATTACAGCTTTCTTGTGCGTGTTAGTAACGATAAAAGTATGAGTAAAAAATGGTCAGCTTATTCTGAAGCAGTGATAAAATTAGCATAAAAGAAACCGAATCATAGCAACAATGTCGATCAATCCGCAATGTTATCCATGGCAAACAAATGAAATCATTTCGAGCTTTTTCTACCGATACCACCAGATGAGCAGACCGAACAGCGTAATTTTACGAGCCTTCAACATAAAACTCGCAATCAACGGTTCATCACATACCTCATTCTCCCAAACGAGCCATCAGGGCACCATTCAAACCTCCATCGCCCATATTGCCCTCATATCTCGACAAACGGCTCTCTGAGGCGGCCAATCAGGCCCCGGGTCAGGTCATCATCATTCCTTACGGCACGCAGGCCGCCTATTCAGCACTCCCCGCGCGGTGGCACGCTGAAGAAAGTCGTCCACGCCCCGGGGGCTAGCAATACGACCTCCTCATTGGAGCGCAGAGCAGTTCTGCTAAAGAGTGCTCTGGAGAGGTATGCCATCAAAAGCAGTCAGCGCTTGCCGCTTGATAAAGGTCGGAGGATGATAGGTATGCAAGAGCGAGTGACCAGGTAAATTAACTACGTTGAGCAGCATTTGTACCTATACCATGTAACTTCAGTTGACAGCTGAGGAACGTACTAGACTGCAAAACTTGACAAACTGACAAATAACTTCCCAGAGATAAAAGATTTCCACTGACACTTTGACTTGCAGGCGATCGATACTGCCCTCTGGCTGGCTATCAACTTCCGTCGTTCCAAGCAAGGCGTTCTCGGAACTGTTGCTGATTGGTTCCGTCATATATGACGCATCAGAGGGCACTCGTTGATCCCCCTGCACTCATGCCTACATCTCTGCATTGGCCATAACCCGGGGAATCGGAACGCATCAGGCGCCATAATATTACGTCATTGATGGCACGCCCAGAACCCCACAATGCTGCATATTACTGATACAATACTGCCCGCAGCTGTTCTGCATTGGTCGTTCCCCGAGCAATCGACAAGACCGTATGATACTATATCGATACGATTTGTTAGCTTAACGATATCGGTGTAATTACGAGAGGGGGAAGAGAGAGAGAGAGAGAGAGAGAGAGAGAGAGAGAGAGAGAGAGAGAGAGAGAGAGAGAGAGAGAGAGAGAGAGAGAGAGAGAGGGAGAGAGAGAGAGAGAGAGAGAGAGAGAGAGAGAGAGAGAGAGAGAGAGAGAGAGAGAGAGAGAGAGAGAGAGAGAGAGAGAGAGAGAGAGAGAGACCAGCTCGGTGATATTGGTTCGCGGACCGCGCCAGGTCAAAGGTCACACAGTAGGTCACACTGGGTGATTACGGAGCGCCACCACCACGATAAGACTGTTATAGGTCACCTGTGAGACTTTTTTTGGTCGCAGCTTCCAAAGAAGTGAGACGTGATGTGATTAAGTTCGGACTATTGTCATGTAGTGTTCATTGTTCAAACTAGCGCTATGCCCATTGCCCAAACTAGCGGTATGGAGGAAGGGCGTTGTGTCCAAACTGATGTGATGTATCTAATTGAAGCGTGAATTCATTTGGTACAGGTAATGCTTGAATAGAAAAGTGTGCTTCTATGTTTGCCGGTAAATACAGCATTAATCCACTCAAACATTTGATAACACTAATTGAAATTGATCAATCGCACGCCTATTGACATTAGCAAAACAAACCAGACAGACATGATTAGGTTATCATGCGGCTACAACGGAATGCACTAGAGGCGCTTCCACAGGCTTTTGAGCCGATGTCTTTGATTGGAGCGAGCCAGATATATGAGTCCGACAGCAAACAGACAAACCCTAGCTCACAATGACCCGAGCCTTGAACAAGATAAGCGACAAGTCACGGGCTCAGCAAGTGCCCAAAAATACCTTAGCAGCAACGGAAGGCGTCAAACATTCCAGTATTACTGAACTGCCCTGGAATTCACGTCCATCAACTTATAATAACTATCATTACAATGCCACATAAAAACTCACAAGATGATCATATATAGAAATGGTGATTCGGTATGATATCGTGTTTTCCTCTATCACATTTTGCGCTATTGGTTTCACTAACGGCTGCACGGGCGGAGGACAGTTTATTTGGTAAAACTAGATTCCAACGCTTTGCATCTCCATTCACAACAAAGGGCGTATTACAGTCGTTGCTCAAAACTCAACCGCTTTCTGTCCCATATTTTTATCTCATTGCACGGCTGCATGACTGCACTTCGGTTGTGCCAAATTATTGCACGGCATACTGCATAGCCAGCAAACTGTTTCAACAGAGAGAGGACCGGAGGCAGGAGGGGGTAGAGGAAGAGGAAGAGCACTACACAGAGCAGGCAAGGGAGATAGAAGTGAGTGAGTGAGTGAGTGAGTAAGTGAGTGAGTAAGTGAGTGAGTAAGTGAGTGAGTAAGTGAGTGAGTGAGTGAGTGAGTGAGTGAGTGAGTGAGCGAGTGAGTAAGAGCGCGCGGCGTCCAGTGTTTCCCACCTGTCCTCGGCGGAGAAGCCCAGGTTCTTATTCAGTCCGTGTCGGATGTTGTCGCCGTCCAGACCGTACGCCGGTATACCGTTGGAGACCAGGAACTCCTCCAGAGCGAACGAGATGGTCGTCTTGCCGGCACCAGACAGACCTGGGGGGGGGGGGGGGTAAAAGGGGTGACACCGACGAAGGGGATAAAAGAGGCTGAAGAAGGGTCAGCTTGCCCCACCTCTCACCGTCTCTCACATCACTTCTTTCACTTCTCACCTCCCTCTAATCACTCACTTGTCACCGTCTCTCACATCATATCCCGCACGCCACCTGTCTCACATCACAACCCGCACCCTCCTCACTCTAACCATTCTCAACGACTCTCATCTCTCAGAGTATCTACTCTAACCATTCTCACAGTCTTTAAATCTAACCAAATCTCACCGTCTCTCACACCTTCGGTCTCTCATACGGCTTTCATCTCTCAGTATAACCACTTTCACAGTCTCTCACTCTAAACACTCTCACCGTCTCACACTCTAACCAAATATTACCCTCACTTACACAGCTCCCGTCTCTTATTCTAACCACTATCGCCCTCTCTCATCAATCTCACACCACCCGTCTCTTACACAGCTCCATTCTCTCACTCTCTAACCACTCTCACCATTCCTCACCTCTCATTGTTTCTTATTCTAACCAGTCTCACTGTCTCCCACTGTAACCACTCTCACCGTCTCTCATTCTAACCAGTCTCACCGTCTCTCATTCTAACCACTCTCACCGTTTCTCACCTGTGAGCCAGATGGTACACCCTCGGAACTCGCCCCTCTCGCCCATGATCTGACCACGCTTGTTGCGCGATACATGGCCAGACTGGAATGTGACATTGGTCGCCTTCTGTGAACGCAGAAGAACGAACGTCGCTTAGTTGAATGGTATACGTGTTTGGGAAAATATGACGAGAGGCGAAAAAGAGAGCGGAAAACGGGAGGAGAGGGGGTAGCGGAGGGTCGGGATGTATGAGGAATAACGGATCCAGCATAAGATGCTCATCTGGCTGGCAACTCATTCCACACGGCCCTCTCAGTCTCTCGATTACCATCAGCTTCTGTCTCATTTTGGTGTGAGTTGTATTCGGGCAAGGTTGGTGCAGCGCGATCTCACTTTTCTTCATTCGGTGTTCTCTGGTCGCATTAGGTCCACCGATATTGTTGGGATGTTTGGATTGTGTGTTCCATGTAGGCGGACTCGAGGACGGGCGATACTGCACGAACCCACCGCAAGGGTGGAAACGATAAGGGCCGGAATGTTTTGTCGCTTACCGAGACAAGTGAACGGCATGTACGAACATGTGGCATCTGCGGACCTATTCGCCAGTCGAGGAACTTTTATGAAGTCTCTTAGAGCCTTCTTAATCTCTCTGACATGACTATACGTACCTATATTTGACAACCCATGAGCACATGTATTTATAGGTTTTAGTATCGGACTGCGTCTGTAAATGGGTGTCATACCTGTGGGCGTTCAAATAAATACATACAATTGGAAAAATAGCCGCAACATTGCGATCAAACTTAAAAAAAAAACAGTGCTCAAGGGTATGATAAGACTGGTTTTGGCATCCATACGAGGCAAACGCATCTGGCCAAAACAGCCAACCAAAGGTGCAAACTAATCACATCAGATCCCTCACAGTGTCACTCTGGTAATTTAGCTTTGGCTTTCTCAGAAACGCAAATATCTGCATCCTCAAAACAAAGTTAGCACTGCAAGTTGCGACCGTATGAATCTCTGATAAACCATTAACCAATAAGCACAATGACTGTAAACGCCTCAGATAAATCCAATTATGAACACCACACCCAAAACAAATCAAAGCAGATAAAGAACAACACCAGTCACCAGGACAATCCAATCTAGTCGTTGTCGATATGTCGGCACCGACAGCTCAGCTAGAGACGGTGATGAGGGGCGTTTCGGGCTCAGTTATTGCCCCCCGGGGGTTATTGCGGACCAAGTGCCCGTGGATATTGCCCCGGTCGAGAGCGAGGCCAGCATACAGACGGGGTCGAGTGGGGAGAGAGAGGTGGGAAGGAGAGGTAGAGGGTGGGGGTTGGAGGTTGAGCTACCAGTCCACACGCACACCAAGAACGCCCACATGGTGTTACCAGGTGTAGAAATTTCCGTGGAAGAAAGCAGCAAATTTTACTAATAAAAAGACTATAACGGGTGACATTTAGTATAGGTACCTGTAACTGGTGACATTCAGATATTGTCCGTGGCAAATAGTTATGTTCTACTGGCGTGATTCAAAGTCGGAGACTATACATATACACCATTTTCGATGCATTTTAAGACAAATGAAGTCCAATTTAAAACAGTTGATTTCTGAATTAAAACAATTGACAGGCGGGTTAAAACACGTGACATTCAGCTTAAAACAACTGACATGCTATTTAAAATAAATGACAAGCAAATTAATATAAATGACATGCAATTTAATCATAAAATTATAGTTACTTCAAACTATGCTGAATAATTACGTTTTAGTGCAAAAAAAATAACAATGTGTTCGACTACATATTTGCAATTGTGACAGTTCGTAGAACTTTAACATAGCAATGCTTCATTGGATTAAAAATTCAAAATGACTGGCGTTAGAGCTTCCATACGAAGACATTGAATCCTACACTACATACACTCAACACTGTCCTTCTCCTTCTTAACCCGCATCCCGCTGGGGGGCCTGGATTTCCACGCCCTGCTGGGGGGGGGGGGGGTGTTTGAACACCCTTCCCCTTCTAACTCGGCTCCTGGGCTCGAAGCGATACGCGGCAGGCACTGTGCGAAAGAGTGACAAACAAAATGACGGAACTACTTCAGTCACTTTTTTGCTCAGGTCAAGGTCAGGTCACCAGAGGTCATTGAAGGCCAAATGTTGCAGATTTTCAGGCCAAATGTCAACAATTTTTAGAAGCCGACACATAACTCGGGAACCAATAGAGCTACAGCGCCGAGGAAAAGCGCATTTGATAGCCCACTTAACGCTCTCTTGGAATATTTCTCCCTGCATATTTGATCTAACGTCAACGTTCTAGCCTGCAGGTGGCAAAAACTGCCAAAATGGACGATTTTTGCGGACAGTTTTTTTTTTGCACTAACTTTTGACTCAAGCCTTGCACGAGCTAAACTTTACCTGCATCGTGTTCCTCTCGTCAACACGCATCGAATGAACTATAATTTGACCTTGAAAGGTCAAATTGAAGAAAAAAACCTCAGGCCAAGGTTTTGACCTGACCGGAAAGGGTCATGCTGCGTATCAGCGGATCCGTATCGTGGAGCTTAACAAATCTAAGGCGTTTTCATCGCTCTAACATTCCTCTATCCAAAGTTATTTGCTAAAACCTGCTAGATACCCTTCGTGACCTGACATGACCTCATGGGCATAAACAAGGGTCACGGGTGCTATGTATTTTTATGTTCATTGGGTCAACTGTCAACGTTACTTGTAATTCGGTGTTTGAAAGTGTTTAGAGTGACTTTCGTCCAAAAGAGGCAGAGGCGTCTTTCAATTTTCTCCCTACAAATAATCATGTAGTCGAACACAACATTTTTTTTTTTTAATTTGCAGCAAAACATGATTATTTAACATAGCTTTACGTACCTATATTTGTATGATTAAATTGCATGTCATTTATATTAACTTGCTTTTCATTTATTTTAAATCGCATGTCAGTTGTTTTAAGCTGAATGTCACGTGTTTTAACCCGCCTGTCAATTGTTTTAATTCAGAAATCAACTGTTTTAAATTGGACTTCATCTGTCTTAAAATGCATCGAAAATGGTGTAGAGATTCCAGCATTACTAACCAGGACGTGCAGAGGCGTTGTGATAATTTTGGATAACACCTTATAGTTGGGATTTTTATAAGCAGGTATATCTGGCTTAGTTTTTTTTTCAGCCACTGAGAGTCCCAGTTAAAACAATTGACAGGGTATTTGCACTGCTGTTTACGCTTATAAAGCTCCTGAGCATCATGATTCATGACTTTACCCTATGACCCTTTCCGAGTCCCCCACACTACACAACGTACCAGACGAGCTTCAATAGAGCCAGGATCCCCGACCAAGAGATCGAACTGTTTACGCCAGGCAAACCTTGCAGGAGCTATATTTAGAGCACGAATTCAACCCGCTCTTTCAACCATGCACCACACGGCAGGCACTAGTTCGCGGCTTCGTTACATAGTTAGGCTTGTCGGTTATCAAGGAACCACACATTACACGCTAGCGATGCTATTCACAAGGTCACTGGATTCGTTCATGCGGGTAAGACATCATACGGAACAAGCCCATTAACGCTGAGTTTCATAGCTATTTTGCACCATGTGAATTCGCTCAATGACAATTACCAAAGCGTCCAAGGCTATTTCAAGTAGATAATGGATCTAACACAGACATGCTTCTTCTATCTTTGAAACGCCGGGTCAAGTCAATAAGATACAAGGGGGAAAATGTTTCATCCCATCCGAGCACACAGAAGAAAGCGTAGACCTACACAAACACTCCATTGCACTCAGCCATGAGCCAGACACGTATCCCCAATAACCTAGTGCGGTTGACCCCCCCCCCCCCGCCCCCTACCTCCATCTAGCCACAGGTGGCGTCAATCAACCCCCTCCCCTCCCCACTTGTCCCCGCCCACCTGATCCGTGGACAGGTCATGTCACCATTCAGATCGTGTCCTGATGTTCTCGGGTACCTGATCAGGTTGGTTTCTCGAGGATTGAACAACGTAGTGAGGATACTGTCATAGGCACTGATTTTGAACACTGCTGTTTGGGACCACCATGATCTGCCGTACCAAAAGCTAAGTTCAGCAAGCCGATAGCGTGTGTTCTAGCCTGTCGAAACGACTAACAGAAATGTAGATGGCATTGGAGGCCTCTGCCTTATTAAAGCTACGGATAAGAAAAAAAACTACTGAATTTCTCATTCGTGTTAATTGCTTGAGAAAAACGAATAGGTATCCGAAGAGATTGTTACAACTTTTTTAGCTGTCAGGGAACGATAGCAAAAAAAAAACAAACAACAACACCAAAATACATCTGAGACATGCGGAAGGCTGCTAGCGAAACGCATGTCCGAAGAACAAACTTGCGCAAAACGGAGCGGGCCAGCAAAGACGCAAGACACCACCTTCAATTCACCAATGCTCAGTGCTCACCCGCCCAGTACATTGACCGAGAAACCACTCGCAACATTCGTTTCAAAGCCACTCGAGAGGAAAATCGTCCGAAGCGTCGGACTCACAACAAATCGGCGAGATACCGGTAGGCCGACAGTTTCCACCACATTAACTATATTTCCACCATCGCGAATTGTACGTCACCGTGAAAAATCGTACAAATCTCTACCCGCCTCGCTTGCCGCGTTTCAGTCCCATTTTTTTTTCTTCACATAGCCGGGCCTCACGCGTCTTCGATTAGGTACGACGCTATGTGTCCATGGCGCCCTATCAGCAAGTAAACTCCTGTCCTTGACGACAAGTACCCGTCAGCGAGACGGCCAGACGCTGAGGGACGCTGCTTCGGGCACTTGAGTCGGCACCCTGACCCGGTGCCCTGGTCACTACCCAGTACCCACCCATATCTGCTACGGTGTGGACTTTTCACCAGAAACTTTTCGCCTCCAAACACAATGAGTTTATTACCGTATTGGGGCAAGTTTTGAAGAAGTTGTGATGAGGGGGAGGGGAGGCAGGTTTTGAATACTGTGCATTCTGAGTGTATCTATGAGTATCTATGAGTACTACACACACCTCCACAGATTATATTGATGAGGAAGTGGTTTACAGTGTCGCGTACAGGCGCAGTGAATCATAAGGAAAAGTTTGTC